ATTAAATTTTGAAAAGGGATGATGGGTGGGGTGAAGTCAAGATGTTCAAGGAGTGGTTGGTAATGAAGTGGGATATATTGTATGGATAATTATTTGTGTATGTCTTCAAAAAGTTGTACAATTTTTAAGTGAGGAAGCATTTTTAAAGCAAGCGTAGAGGGGGCACCTAGGTGACTTGGTTGAGTGTCCAACTCTTGATTTTGGCTCAGGTCATGATATCAGGGTTGTGAAATTGAGTCCCACATCAGGGTCCACACTGGTGTGGAGCCTGCTTAAGATTTTCTGTCCCCTTCCCCAAAATAGATTTAAAGCAAGCGTAGAGTTGGGGGAGGCAGTGTTGGTAGGGTTCCTTCTGGTCAGTTCTTTACTCGCATCTACCCTTCTTGCTGCATGTTGGCAATCTATCATATATAAGCCACACTTAATCCCCTTGTCTTGCCGCATCCCTTCTTCGTACTCCAGTGAAGCTTAATAAATGGAATGTTAGCTTTAAGGGGTAAAGAGAGAGTCACTGCATCTTGACCCTGCCTGGGTCACTGGCAGGGAAGAAGGCTCTAAATAGCAACCTTCATTACGTGAAGCTACACACATGTGTCACCGGACACTTCAGAAATAGCAGCCTAGGAACACACCCAGTATGTGGAGTGTACAATTGTACTGGCTGCTTATGGAATCTGGCTCACCTTTTTCCCTGTCCCCTCTTGGAACTTTGACTTGCCCAACTGATTTCTTTCTCCATCTCCAAGGAAGCAACAGCTTTTAGACTTCCACATTCGTCTTTCTGGGCATGTTGAAAATGTGTAACCATCCCCTGGAATTGTTTTTATTTAAGCCAATCTTGTATAAGAGGGATGAGTTACCCCCTGTGTATGTAGACAGTAACACAAACACCATCCAAATGGGTTTTGGGGTATTGGGGCGTTTCTCATACTTGTTTATGAGTAACTATATAGACAAGTCCGGTCAGCTGCTGTTCACAATTGCTGAGTAATAACTCACTGAGGCTGCATAGACAAAGCCACAAGAGATTCGCCCGCAAGTGAGATAGCAGCTCTTAAGTAAACATCCTGTTCTCCCTTCCCCCTTATAGAAGTAAGGAGAAGCACACATGCTTTAAAGGAAGGGAGCAAGTGCACTGTAAAACTAAGAATCAAATTGCTTCTGACTAACTGGGCTGGGGGGTGGGGGGGCACATTTTATGCTTAGTTACAAGTCTGGAGGAAGGGGCATAAGAAGGCTGGTATCTATTTGATATTGCAGTTACCTTATGGCACTATGATTTTATTTTGTTGTTTTCTTTCCCTTTGTTACACAAGAGTCAAAAGTTGAAAATACGGATGTGGGTGGAGGGGCTAGTGACCAGTATCCAACAGAGATAACAAGTATGGGCTGCAGGGTTTTGTTTGATTCAAAAGGGTGCTGGGTAAACCAGTCTGCCCTGAGTCTGTTGGGTTCATAGCAAATTAGATGTTCCAGCAACTTTACTTCCTTCCTCATCCCTGTTCTGTCCCCTCTATTTTTGCAAATTACTCAAATCCTTTGCTGCATAATTTGTGGGAAAGAGGAGCTAAGAGAACTTGAAACTTTTTGCATTTTCCTTTCCATATTTCAGTTGGAGTGGGTAGAAAGGAGATACACAGCGTCCAGTTCCTTGGCTAGGAATCCTTTACACTTAGGTGAAACAACACTTCACATCCTGTATCTTCAAGATAGCCAATCATTGCCAAGGGCAATAGAGCTTAGTAAAGGATTAATTTGAAATCTTGGTTTGGTAGTGGGCCTTAGTTGTACAATGCCTTCTAGAGATGTATCTAGGACTTTCTTTCACAGTACTTTGCTCTTGCCTTTGTTTTTTATTTCAACATCAACCTAAGCTGACACATTCCAGCACTGGCTCCTGTGTTTGGCCTCACCTGACAAATCAGGGTTATTTAAAGGTGGCGGGCGGGGGTCGGGGGGAGAGGATGGAGATGGCTATCTTTGTTTCTCTTCTACAGGCTCAAGAGTTGTCTTGGAGAAAGGAAGTCATAGTAGAAATTCTAGGTAAGCCGAAGGCTTTGTTTTCAAAACAGAGTTCAACTCATCCCCATGCCCTGGTAGGAAGCTTCCCCCCCCCCTTTTTTTTTAATCAGCAAATGTGGCTAGACAAAGTTTTTTGGCATCTTAAAGCAAAGTTAAAAGCTTGGCCCCATCCTACATCTTCATCACTAAGTTGTGGGGGGTTCTGTTTGTCTCATTTTGTTTTTAAATAAATCTAACCTCCCCACACCTACTGTACTTTTAGCCACTTGTCCAGTTCTCTGGGCTTCAAAAGCATTTGGTGACAGTGACAGAAACCTTTCTTTATATATTTTACCCTCTTAAATTTCTCTTTTTTACCTCTGGCATCTTTACTTCTTAGGTGCAGGGAAATTTTGTGAAGAGCTAAGATTTTGAGGTATATGTTGATCCTGATGACAAGTGGAAATGTACTTTACCTTTAATGGAGAGCGTTCTTACATACAGTTTAGGAATATAAAAATAATACCTGTTCAACCAAAGCTTTAGCTAACTTGTGATGTTTATTCTAAAGGTAGAGTAAAGCTGAGGATTTCCCAAAGTGTGACCAATGGTCTAGCATACCCTTAACTGAGGATTGCCTTTTCTCTGGACTTCTCTGAAATCTGCTGGCATGATTTCCTAAACACTTAATTTTCCTTAACTTTGGTTAGAGAAAATCTTTTCTTGGCTTTTTATGAGACCCCTCCTTTCACCCTATATTAAAGGCCTCTTTGGCCCTACAAGTGATGTACCCTGCAGAGAAAACGGGAACTCTGCTACCAAACATGATGCATTAGGACTATTCTGGTTGCTGAAAGGCAGCATGGCATAACAGGCTTTGGATTCAGATGGGCTAGGGCTTGACTTCTCTGAGGATCATTTTCCATGTTTTAAAGGGAGCATAAGAAGAGCTATTACTTGTCAGGGTTGTTCTTGGAATTAAATAAGATAGGGCGTAGCATTTGGCACATAGCAGGTGTTTGGTGATATTCTGGGTGGAAGGTAAGCAGTTTTAGGGATTGATGATTCCCAGACAGACTAATGGGTTAAAATTCCCTGAGGCTGAGACATGGTAGTCACAAATCAGAAATTGTAGAACCAGTGATAAATGTATCGGCCCTCACTGGCTTGCTCTTCTTTGCTTGCTGGCTGGCTTGTTTCCAACAAGAAGAATAACTCCTGACACTCTTTCCTTCCTCCACTGCAACACAAGTTACAGAGGTGATGATGTAGTCGTTGATTGATGGGCATCCCATGAGCCCTCAGTCCAATGCATTGCACAAAGTAAGTCAGTACATGTTTGAGGGATGAGTGCAGGGACCTGCCGTAACAGTGTAGCCTGTTTATTCTACAATCCCTCTACTATCCTAAAAGAGGACAAGGTAGAATGATTAAAGAATGTATGTGTCAGTAAATGTATCCTTTGGAGTTTTAAGTCAATACAGTGATTGATACATTCTGAATTCAATAATTATTGAGAACCTATCATTTTGTTACCTGTAATATAACCTTCCCATCCCTTTCGGTGCAAAGCCATGGGAAAAGTTCTGCCTGTTGTCACACTTTCTGAATATCATTTTTAAATCCTGTCTGCCTTTTTCCAACCCTCCAGACCACCCCTCCCACACACAAGTAATTTTCCTCTTCCACAGTCTTGTCTATTTATTTTTGTATTTCAGGGTGTCAGGAGATGGAACCAAGATCCGGAGTGGTGCCTGTGATTCAAGTCAACGGCTGCCTGCCCCAGAAAGAACCTCTGGCCTCTGGAAGCCTAGATTAAACAGCTTTCTCTGACAGCGCTTCCTCCACAATCCTTGATTCCACTACCATTGGAAACTTGAGAACCATCTCTTACCATCCCCATCCCCAGGTGAGGGGACGAAGGGGAGTTACTGAGAACCTTACAGCTGCCGCCAAGTCCATTTCTCCTCATACTTTACCACAAATGTGACCGTGTTTCAATTTTTACTATGTAAAAATAAATCAAATATACCTAGTCCTCTGTCCTAGATAATTCAGGGAGTGGGAAGAGAAGAGCTGAAGGAAGTGGAGAGCTGGGATGGGAATGAGAGAGGCAAGGTCTTGTGTAGGAAGCAGACGGCTAAGATTCTAGGGTCAGGCACCTCTTTCTGAAGTGATGGGGGAGTATATTGGAAATAAACTCTCTTGCTAGAGAAAGCATGGTGTGATAGGAGAGTGTAAGACTTGGATTCAAAATCTAGCATCAGCACTTACTGTTTTACCTTAAGTCACTTATATTATCCTACCTTGAATTCTTCCATGTGTAAGATTAAGAGGTCTCTAAGGTCTCTCTTAAGCACTAGACTATGAAGAGATTCCATGAAGTGCCCTCTGCACATTCTTTGCTCCAGCCTCAACGCTGTTAAATTCATTTATTCCAACAGCTTGTCGCCATTGTAGCGCATTACCCGTGTACCACGCACGATTTACATGAAATTAACTTCAACAACTGGGAGTGTTGCTAGTATTATTCCCATTTTATGGATGAAGAAATTGAAGCTTAGAAGAAGTTAAGTAATTTACCTAAAATTACACAGTGAGTAGGAGATAGATCCAGGATTTACGCTGTTTCCAAAGACTATGCTCTTACCTGCCGGTAAAGACTGTGTAAAAGAAAACCTATGGTTAAAAGGAAATGACTATTTCCTGTCCGTTTTTCTCCCACTCTCATTTCTCAAGAGTTTTCCTGCCCCAGCCCTCAAAGCTACAAGATAGGTTATTGCTACTTTGGGCTGAAACTTCAGGTTTCGGGATTGCGGGTGTGTGTAACAGTTTAGGTCTTCCGCTCACCCGGAACCACCCACACCGCTGCTCGTGCTGTGTGGGGCGTACCTCTTCGGAGTTCCTGGGGGTGGTCCCAGGCTAGAGTGGCAGCTACAGGAACCAGTAGGCATGGGAGTTGTTGGGCCGGAAGCCAATGAGGAATCCGGTGAAGGAGAAGCGACGGTAATTTGTTTAAGGATGTAGGCACGGGTTTGAAGGAACATGGGGTTTTATCAGAGGTGGCGGCAGCTGCGGTTCCCAGGCTTGCAAACCTGCGGGCTACACACGGTGCGTGAGGTACCCAAAAGTTAGGAACCGCCTCGGACCCAGTCCAGCTGAGGTCCAAGGTGTAGGCTCTCAACCGAGCCTGACACCCCAAACCATAGCTGCCGTGAGTCCCTGGACCCGGCTACCCTAAGCCCTTAGTTGCAGCCATCTTTTTCCTAGGGTCAACAGACTGGGCAGTATAGGACTCCCAGCCCAGTATCACCCAGTCCTCTTACAGACCTAGGGTTAGGACCAAGATCCCTTCCATATTCTCACCTCCCACCAGTCCCAATCTCAGAAAGGAATGATGGGACCCGTGTTTCCTCCTAACCTCTTTCCCTCCAGGCAGCTGTGCCGACCCCTCCACACTGGTTGGCAGAGCGGTTTGGCCTTTTTGAGGAGCTATGGACTGCTCAAGCAAAGAGGTTAGCAAGCATGGCACAGAAGGAACACCGGACTATTAAGATATCACTCCCTGGAGGCCAGAAAGTGGAGGCTGTGGCATGGAACACAACCCCTTACCAACTAGCCCAACAGATCAGGTACCAGACCCATTTTATACCTGCCAGGATTATCCTTCTTCCTCTGTACTTCGCAGGACTTGAACAGGGGATGAAAATTCTGCTTGCTTCTATTCCATCCCTATCAAGACTGCCTTTTCCTGAGGATTCATTTTTATCTGCATTAGTTTCCGTGTCTACCCTTCATTTATTATCCATCGGGAAAAGAAATGATAGGTTTTATTGCTCTGGTGACACCTTTCCCCATTTTCAAGTTTGGAGGTGTTGAGAGATTAGTCCCTCTCTTCCCCTGTGGATTGTACCCATGTCTTTTTCTTTATCCTCACCCCTCCCCTCGCCCAGTTCAACACTGGCAGATACTGCAGTGGCTGCTCAGGTGAATGGAGAACTTTATGATCTGGAGCGGCCCTTGGAGACAGATTCTGACCTCAGGTTTCTGACATTCAATTCTGCAGAGGGCAAAGCAGTAAGTTTCTTCCTTTTCAGGAATACCGTGGGAACTAAACTAAGGGATATGTATATATTTTTTTAATATTTAAAAAGATTTTTATTTATTTGAAAGAGAGTGAGCGAGACAGAGGAGTGGGAGGGGCAGAGGGAGAAGCAGCCTCCCTGCTGAGCTCGATCCTGGGATCATGATCTGAGCCAAAGGCAAGACGCTCAACTGACTGATCCACCCGGGCGCCCCTATATATATATATATGATATATATATATATATATATATATTTTTTTTTTTTAAGATTTATTTTTTTAAGAGAGGGGGGGGGGGGGCTGTGGAGGGGCAGAGGGAGAGAGAGAGAGAAACCCAGCAGTCTCTGTGCAGAGCGCAACACAGGCCTCCATCTCAGGACCCTGGGTTACAACCTGAGCCGAAACCAAGAATCGGACACTTAACCAACTGCACCACCGAGGCGCTCCTAAACTAAGTGGGCATATTTCTAGTATTTCTTTTGCCTCAGTTTCTCCATTTGCAGTTGAGAGAGAGACATACCACAGACTGCTTGTCTTAACCAGCCCTGGCTAAGCTAGAAACTCATGATGAAAGTTTTCAGCCTAGGTCTATTAAGTAGACATCATTTGCCCTAGTAAAAAGAGATCATAAGCTGAAAATAGAAAAATAATATGCCAGTTCAGGGATGCCCGGGTGGCTCAGTTGGTTAAGCGTCTGCCTTCCGCTCAGGTCATGATCCCAGGGTCCTGGGATCGAGCCCCACATCGGGCTCCTTGCTCTGTGGGGAACCTGCTTCTCCCTCTGCCTCTGCTGCTCCCCTTGCTTGTGCTCACTCTCTCTCTCGCTCTCTGACAAATAAATAATAAATCTTAAAAAAAAATGAAAGCAAGATAATATGCCAGTTCAGTCCCTCAACTCTGCAGACATTATAAGTCATCTGTAGCATATACTTTTTAATTCTTTTTGTTAAAGATTATTTATTTTTTTGAGAGAGAGATATAGCGAGAGAGAGCACGAGCAGGGGGAGAGAGAGAAGCAGGCTCCCCGCTGAGCTGGGAACCAGACATGGGGCTCGATCCTAGGACCCCAGGATCATGACCTGGAGCCAAAGGTAGATGCTTAACCAGCTGAGCCACCCAGATGCCCCTATATTTTTTAATCCTAACTTGACTTACACAGCTGAGCACACAACTGGCCTCCTTCCCGCTTTGTCGTCTTCATGTCAGCTTAGGTAATATGGACCTCATCTATTAGGAGCCAGAAAAATGGAATTTTGTCACCTCTGTATAAATGGTGACCAAATCCTAGAGGAGGGGTTGCAGCACATTAGATTCCTGGGATAGAAGAAAATAGAACTAAAAGACCAAACAGAGCCCTTAGGAACTACCATCTTAAGTAGGTAGTTTACTCTGAAGCCCTAAAAGGGGATGTTATAAGAGCAATAAAAGAAGACTGGGCTCCTGCTTCTATGCTCTAGGACTGGGAAGCACCGAGGAGTAGGGCTCGGGGCTACTCTCATCCGTGCGTTGCTTGTACTAGCTTTTGTTTTCTTTTCTATTCAGTTTTTGTTTTTTTCTTTTACTATTTAATGTTCACCCCCAAGGTCAGGTTCCCCATTTTGTGGTAGTTATTTGTAGAAGAGCCAAACTGGTTTCACACCAGCTTCTCTGAGGAGAGGATTGGAGAGTGAGGGGTTAAAGGAGAAGGTTATGAAGTCCTTACTTGTGAACCCAGGTGTTCTGGCACTCCAGCACCCATGTCCTGGGGGCAGCAGCTGAACAACTCCTTGGTGCCGTCCTCTGCCGAGGTCCAAGTACAGAATGTGGCTTCTACCATGATTTCTTCCTGGGAAAGGAGCGGTGAGTAGTGCAAGGAAAGAATGATTCTGGGGTGCTTTCCTTTTTAGATATTTCACCATATTTTATTTCATTTTTCAACTTTTTGGAGTATAATTGACAAAGTAACATATTTAAAGTGTACAGTGCTCGCTTCGGCAGCACATAAACTAAAGTGTACAATGTGAGGGGGCCCTGGCTGGCTCAGTCAGAAGAGCATGCGACTCTTCATCTTAGGGTCGTGAGTTCAAGCCCCATGCTGGGTGTAGAAATGACGTGAATAAATAAACTTTTAAAAAATAAAAAAGCGTACAACTTGGTAATTTGGTGTTTGTATACATTGTGAAAGGATCCGCACAATTGTGTTCATTAACACATTCATCACCTCACTTCCTCGTTTTGTGTGTATGTGAACACTTAAGGTTTGCTCTTACAAATTTCAATATATATACAATATGGAATTATCAACTGTAGTCACCATGCTATACATTAGCTCGTCAAACCTAATTCATTTTATAACTGAGTGTGTACCCTTTTACTAGGGTGGTTTCTGCCCCCTTTTTCTGGGGCATCAGGCATGTTCAATTTGGAGGAGAAAGTTTGGGGAAGGGCCTCTCCAGGCCTCAATTGTGATATCGGTGCCATTTTCTCCACTAGTCCATGTCTTTCCTTTTCTGATTCAGCTTGAAACTTCTCTAGTCTTTGTGAATTAACTTTTTACTTCATCTTTCATTACTAGTGCTCTAATTTTTTCCATCCATGTTGCCTGAATCCAACTTTTAATTTCATACATAGAGCTTTTGCTCCTGCTGGAAAATTTATACCTGATTTCCTAATTATGTTTTCTCTCAGTTTGTCTGTCTTTGCCAGTAATTCTAGATGTCTCTGGAGAGCAGGATTTCACCCCCTAGCCAACAGGTTTGGCACCCAGGTCATGCTTCTCAGCAGATGCAAGCCAGCCAACTCTCATCTTTCCAGGACAGTCCGGGGCTCAGAGCTGCCTGCTTTGGAGCGGATTTGCCAGGAACTTGCAGCTGCTGCTCAACCCTTCCGGAGGTTAGAGGTGTCTCAGGATCAGCTTCGCCAGCTATTCAAGGTGGGGTGGAGGTGCACACATTTAGGAGGAAGACCCAGAAGCATGAGGGAAGGGGTAGCTCTCTCCCAGGACATCTATATAGGAATAAAGACTTATCCTCACTCTCCTTTCAGGATAACCCCTTTAAGCTTCGCCTGATTGAGGAGAAAGTGACAGGTCCAACAGCAACAGTATATGGGTGAGAGCTGTCAAAATGGAGGGAAAGAGGGAGAGGTGGGATGCACCAAAGAAGGCCAGAAATGGGATGAGGGAAAGAAGGTAGAAGGTAATCTGTTGCTCCGGAAAAGGAATAGGACCAGGAAATAGTTTTATCTCCCATTGCTTTTGCTCTCTCTGTAGAACAGTTCTTCATTGTTTTTCTGTCTGCTGAAGGCCATGAGCGGGAGAACACTAGAAGCTCAAGGATTTGGAAACCACTAAGTGGCCTCTTCTTTCTCCCAGGTGTGGCATGCTGGTTGATCTTTGCCGGGGCCCCCATCTTCGGCATACTGGACAGATTGGAGGACTGAAGCTGCTAACGGTCAGTTGTAAGGGCAAAGTTAGGTTGAGACTCCTGTGTTCACTGTGATGAGCGGGGGAATGGGAAGATGATCTCTCTCAGCCCTTTCTCTCCTCTGATAGCTGAGCGGGGAATCCAGGAGAAAGATTTTTAGTTCCTCCCTTCTGCAAACTCCCAGTCTGATGGCAGATGCTGGGCACCCTGCCAGGGTCCAGAAGCCAATTCACATTCTGTAGTTGAACTTCAGTGGTAGGGAGATGGAGAGGGAGCGTGTGAACAGGTTGGACAGGGTCACATGGGGGGAGGCTCCTGTGGAGAGAGGGTGTATAGAACACCATTTGAAGGTACAGGAAGAATACGATAAGTCAAAGGCATGCCTTTTATGAAAATACTGTTCCTGGGCCAGGTGAGTTATTATTAGGTGGAATGGGAGCAGGGAGCTGGGGGAGAGGCAGGTATACACAGCCAAAAGCGCTGAACTGAAAACCCAGCCATTTGTGTTTAGTCCTAGCTCTGCCATCAGTGAAGTATGTGGCCTTGGGTAAATCTTCTTTACCCACTTTCCCCATCTATAAAAGAAGGTTGTTGTTAATTCCTGTCCTGCCAGTAAATCCCCATCACAGAGACAAAGTCAGCTAACACAGGAGAAAGTGAGGAAAAACTAAAAGTGCTATAAAACATGGGCTATTTCTTGTTAAATCGTTAAAGAGAAGAGCAAGCAGAGGCATTTGAATTTCATGTGGCCAGGAGTGGGAGATTGATAAGTGGATGGGTAGACTGACATTTGACCAGAGCCTAAGGTTAACTCCGGTGAGCCATCATTGATTAGAAGTGGGGGTGGGGAGGTCCTAAGTGCACGGGTGCCTGTGGGAGAATGGGTAGAAAAAGAGGTGGCAGGATAAAGTTAGGCTGGACACAAGTGGGGATTAGGAGTCTGGGAGTCTCTTGAGTCTATAAATGTGGCAGGGGGTCTGGGGGGATAGTGGAATCACGCTGGTGGAGGCAGTGGGAGACAGGATGAGCGTGAGATGGGACACTGTGGGGCTTAAGCTCAGTATCAGATAAGCATCATTGAAGGATAGCTTAGGTACCTGCAGTGCCCCCATCTTCTCTCTGGCTCCCTGTGTCCTCCCATAGAACTCCTCATCCCTGTGGAGGTCCTCGGGTGCCTCAGAGACACTGCAGCGAGTATCAGGGATCTCCTTCCCCACAGCAAAGGAGCTGAGGGCCTGGGAAGAATGGAAGGAGGAAGCGGAGTTACGGGACCACCGGCGCATTGGGAAGGTACAGAGATTGGGAGAAGGGGAATGGATGTGAAGGAACCTGATGGTGAAGTTGGGAGCAGATTATGAATCCAAGAGATTGAGCATCTCCATCAGTTGTTTCTTCTGGGTCCCAAAGTCCCCACTTTGTCCCTTGAGTGATGTTGCCATTCCTGTACAGGCACAGGAGCTCTTCTTCTTCCATGAACTGAGCCCTGGAAGCTGCTTCTTCCTGCCTCGAGGGACAAGGGTGTATAACGCACTGGTGGCTTTTATCAGGGTAAGGGGGACCCAAATCGAGAGGAAGGAAGACCAGGGAGGAAATCAGGGCCCAGAAGATGCCAAGTGTTAAAAGAGGGGGATTAAACATAAACATTGTGAAGTGCTGGTGACCTTTAACAAGGTCCTAGGAATGTCTGGTTCACAGGGTCGGGGTGTAGAGAGAGAACATGGTACTTAACAGATTGTGGCTGACATCAGCATGACCTGAGGTCTCGGGAGAATCACACGCCTGCCACCCTGCCACCTCTCCCCCAGTCCCTCTGACATTCTGTGTCGGTACCCTCCTCTTCAGGCCGAGTACACCCGCCGTGGTTTCTCAGAAGTGAAGAGCCCCACGCTGTTTTCTACGAAACTCTGGGAGCTGTCAGGACACTGGGAACATTATCAGGAAGACATGTTTGCCCTACAGCCCCCAGGCTCTGACAGGCCCACCAGCTCCCCGAGTGACCACTCTACCAGCCATCCCACAGATACACTTGCCCTCAAGCCCATGAACTGCCCTGCGCACTGGTGAGCTAGGAGCCCGGAGTCCTGGGTCCTCCCAGGGCTGGGGGTGGGCAACCAGGTTGCCCAGTATGAAGTAATAGAAAGCACCTTGGCAGAGCACTGGGACACCTGATTTGAGTCTTGAATCTGCCCTCCAGCTAACCTGTGAATTTGGCGAAACCATCTACCTCTCTAAGCCTTAGTCTCCTTGTGTAGCATCAAGGGTTTGGAGTTGCTGTCCAAGGTTCCTCTTTCACCTCAGAACACAGAATAGGGGCGCAGTACATGCGCTGTTGTTCCTAAGAAATGTACTTTCGGTCAGGTGGGGCCTCAGTGGGAGGGCAGGCTAAGGCTGGACAGGGTGCTAGCTGATGGCACAGAGAAAATAAGCAAGCACATTGGCTAGAGGAGCAGTCTGCAGGGGCTACTTTTCCCTGTGGCCCTGACCTTTCCGTACCCCATCCTCAGCCTGATGTTCGCTCACCGGCCCAGATCCTGGCGAGAGCTGCCCCTGCGACTGGCAGACTTTGGGGCCCTGCACCGGGCCGAGGCCTCTGGCAGTCTGGGGGGACTGACCCGGCTGCGGTGTTTCCAGCAGGATGACGCGCACATCTTCTGTGCACCGGACCAGGTGGCTCTTCCCCAACTCCGCCAAAGCATTTCTTTCTTTTTTTTTTTTTTGGTGTGTGAGTAAAGCGATAGAAGTTTATTAAGTGAAGATACAGAAAAAGCTCTGGGGGGCGCCTGGGTGGCTCAGTCATTAAGCATCTGCCTTCGGCTCAGGTCATGATCCCAGGGTCCTGGGATCAAGCCCTGCATTGGGCTCCTTGCTCCGTGGGAAGCCAGCTTCTTCCTCTCCCACTCCCCCTGCTTGTGTTCCCTCTCTTGCTGTGTCTCTCTGTCCAATAAATAAATAAAATCTTTTTTTAAAAAAAAAAAAAGCTCTCAAGAATGAGGGGGTCCCAACAGGTTGCCCCGCGAAAGCATTTCTAAACCACTTTCCATTCTCCATATGAATTGCCAGTGTTCCCGATTTCCAGTCTCCCTCTTCATATACTACAACTCAGTTACATGATAGCCCTAACTGTCCTCTATGTTTCTGCCTTGTGTTTCCCCCCCGAACTCCTGTCACTCCAGAGCTCTAGGTACCATACAGCTTCACCCACTCTGTTTTCTGCCTCCAGCTTGAAGCAGAGATCCGAGGCTGTCTTGATTTCCTCCGTTCTGTCTATGCCGTCCTTGGCTTCTCGTTCCGCCTGGCACTATCCACCCGACCGTCTGGCTTCCTGGGAGAGCCTTGCCTTTGGGACCAAGCTGAACAGGTAAGTAGGTGAAGAGGTAGATAAACCACTCTCTAATGGGGGAGGGGAGATGGGAATCGGGGTCCTCCTTAGAGGCATATGCTAAGCAGGTCATTTGTTGGGGACTGGAGGGATCTGTTGCTCATAAAGTCTAAGATGACACATTCCTGTCTTGTCTCATCCCCTCTTAAAGGTCCTTCAGCGGGCCCTGGAAGAATTTGGAGAACCCTGGGACCTCAGCCCTGGAGATGGTGCATTCTATGGGCCTAAGGTAAGTTGGGGACCCTGCTAAGAGTTTTATTTATTCATTTTTTGTTTTGTTTTATTAGATATTTAATAAACACAAAGGAATATTTTTAAACTCATGTAGGATATAAAGAGCAGTACATTTCCTGCCCCCATGAAGCTTGTGGTCTTGTGAAGGGTGTGGGAGGTAAATAGGCATTTTGGAGCCACTGAATCCGCACTGTGTAGGTACCAAGGGAGCACATCACTCAGGAAGGTCAGGAAAGGCTTCTTGCAGGATTCTCTTTCTAACCTGAAAGGTCATTGTTGGCCAAGTACAGAGGAGTTCTAGGTGGGAACAGTACAGGCAGAGGCTGAGGGCAGGGTAAAAACTTGCAGGGCAAGTTGGAAGAAATGGGAGAAGTTGGGAAAAAAGGACTGGAAAGTGTCTGCTGGGTTCAATGAAAAGGCTGTTAGATTTTTTTTTTTTTTAAAGGTTTTATTTATTTATTTGACAGAGAGACACAGCGAGAGAGGGAACACAAGCAGGGGGAGTGGGAGAGGGAGAAGCAGGCTTCCCGCTGAGCAGGGAGCCCGATGCGGGGCTTGATCCTGGGACCCCAGGATCATGACCTGAGCCGAAGACAGACGCTTAACGACTGAGCCAGCCAGGTGCCCTAAGGCTGTTAGATATTGAAGGACCAGGGCACCTGGCTGGCTCAGTCGGTTAAGCGTCTGCCTTTGGCTCAGGTCATGATCCCAGGCTACTGGGATCAAACCCCACATTGGGCTCCCTGCCCAGTGGGGAGCCCGCTTCTCCCTCTGCTGCTCCCCCTGCTTGTGCTCTCTCGCTCCCTCTGTCAAATAAATAAAATCTTAAAAAAAAAAAATATTGAAGGAACATTTTTGGTAAAGTGGAGGCTGGGGTAAGGGGCCTGAGTAGTCGAGAGATTCTGATGAAGGGAGAAATTTGAGAATGTTTAAATGCTCTGATGAAGAAGAGCCTGTTTGGGTCAGGGAAAAGCTGAAGTTGTAGAAGGGTTTCAGTGGAGGGAATTTCTTGGGTAGTTTTGAGGGGGTAGGATTGAGAGCCCACAAGAGACTACCTTTGCCATCGTTCTGGAGGCAGGAAGAAAGATTGGGGGTACGTGCAAGGAAGTCTGTATATGTGACAGGAAGTTGAGACATTTTTCCATCTTGTGATATCATTATCTGATTTCCCCGTGAGATGGGAGTAGGGCAGAGGAGAGTTGTCAGTGAAAACAGTGAAGATAGGAAGAGGAGAAAGCTTGAAAATCCTTGAGAACAGGACACAGAACTGACTAGGGCAGCAAAGGATTGCTGACAGCAGCAAGGGCGCAGTTAAAGTTCAAAACAGGGACCTGCATGGTGACATCAGTCCCAACATTTATGCATCTGTGTGGTATGGGACATGTTGGGCAGCTCTGAGCGGTTCTGTTGCAGGGCCAAGGAGGTGGGAAGCCAGAGTGCCACCAGGTTGGGGTTTTGCCATGGGCATGTGACAGGAGAACAACAGTGGAAGGGAACCAGGGAGAGGGGTTCCAGCTGCATGGGGAAGGACGGAAAGGTGGTAGGGGCAGTGAATGGGAAAGAAGCTAGAAATTGAAAAGCCATTCGTAGGAATAATTGTCAGAGCCAGAAGACCAAGAGACCGTAATCAGAGCAGGGTGTTGTGATGCACTGTTCCAGAGGTGCAGCCATTCTGGGCAATGACAAGATGAAGGCTGTAGCCATGCATGAATACATGTGAAGATCTCTTGAGATGACGAGCTCAAGGGATTCAGAGGCCACGGTGTGGGTGGGTCATTCATTGTCAGTGTTGATGTCTCTTAAAGTTACACCACTACTGAGCAGAAAGAGCCACTGCTGGAATGCCCAGTGAGTGAAGTAGAGTATTTTACAGCTATGACACGTCTCTCAAAACAGCCTGGGATATGGGTGGGTAGAAGGTGGGTGGTACGTTCAGTAGAGGCTACTGCTTCTGGTTGCTCTTATGCCCTCCCATCTGTCTCCTCTAGATTGATGTGCACCTCCATGATGCCCTGAGTCGGCCCCATCAGTGTGGGACAATCCAGCTTGACTTCCAGCTGCCCCTGAGATTTGACCTCCAGTACAAGGGGTACAGAACCTTGCCCAATCCCCTTTTCCCTTGGCTGCCAGCAGAATAGGTGGAGAGCAACTTCCCCTTCTATCTTTGTCCCTAAAAATGAAACCCAAATCCTCTACACCTTTGCTGGAGCTAAATATTTCTGGAAAACCAGAAGGTGATCTTGGGTGTGCATTTTGTGACACTTCTCTATTCCATCCATCCCCCTCTTCCTCTCCAAGGCAGGCGGGAGTCCTGGAGCGTCCAGTCCTCATTCACCGAGCAGTGCTAGGTTCTGTGGAAAGGATGTTGGGAGTGCTGGCGGAAAGCTATGGAGGAAAATGGTGAGACCTCTGGCCCCAGATTTCTATTCTGGTCCTCAGACCAGATAGTGCATGCTCCAGATCCTGGTCTCCTCAGATTCCCTCTTCTGTTTTCCTCTCAAATCAACTCTCTGCAGCCACACTATGGTCAGAGCCAAAGTATTTGTTTGCCTTCCTCTTCTCTCTCCACCAGGCCATTGTGGCTGTCCCCGTTCCAGGTGGTGGTCATCCCTGTGCAAACTGAGCAAGAGGAATATGCCAGGGAGGTGAGGACAAGCTGGGCCGTGTGCACAGGGGTTGAAGCAGGACTACCTGGAGTCCAGGGCTGAGCAGTGGGTAGGAAGGGGTCACACAGCGTAGTGGAAGGGAAATAGCACTTGGAGCCACAAGACTGGGCTCAAATGGATGCCGGCCTTTATGCTGGAAATTCCACATCTGAGAAATGAGACTGAATGCCTTGCCTGTGGAGATGCGTGAAAATTAAACAAATTAACAAATGTTAAATGCTGACAACAGAGCACAAAAGGGGCCTGGATAAATGTTGGTTTCCTGTTTCCTTTCTAGAGAGAAGTAAGGATATGGATGGTACCAGAGTCAAGTAGCTGGTTGGGTAGCACTGTGGCTAGAGCAGGCAGAGTCGGGGAATTGGTGGCTGGCTTGGCTCCAGTAGGAAGCGGACAGAAACTGGGGGGGGGGGGGGTGGGGAGGGGCCTCAGTGCAAAGATGAACAAGGAGGGGTTGTCAATGAGAAACGGAGAGCCTTGAAGCAGAGGATGGAGGAACAGATCCAGGGCATGGGGAAGATTGGTATCAGACTATTCTAGCTTCTTAACCTTCAGTTCCTGGCATCAGACCTCTGCCCCTCTGCCCCAGGTACAGCAGAGGCTGCAGGCTGCAGGGCTGGTCTGTGACCTGGATGCCGACTCAGGCCTGACCCTCAGCCGAAGGGTCCGCCGGGCTCAGCTCTCCCACTACAACTTTCAGTTCGGTAAGTGACCAGCAGGGCAGGCCCTCGGAGTCCTGCACTCTCCACCGACTTCCTGTGCTGTTCTTTCTTATTAAATTTGCTTATCTGTGTATTTGGGTTAATTGGGGTTCATTACCTGATCTGGATTCAGGACACCTGAGCCATTTGGGTCCTAGGTTCTTTCACCCCCTGACAAGCAGTTCTCAACCTCAGAAGAGTTTCCTTTTTTTTTCTTTTTTTCTACTACTAATTTATTCTTTGCATTTGTGCTGAGTCATAGAGAATTACGTCACAGGCACAAAAAGCACTTTTTTTTTACCAACACCTAGTACAAAATAATATTCTAAACAGAACAAAAAAAGCACAAAATCACAGACACTTGAGAAAACATTTGATGAGATTTAGGTTATTAAAACATAGGGTAGAAAGTGAGCGCCTTCAAGACTAGGGGTTTGTGTGTAGCCAGGCAGTGTTTGAATTTTACCTGCTGAGCCTGTATTTTCAGACATCTCCACTAAAGTGCCCCTTGAGACTGAGGTGGGAGAGTGTGAACCACATTGGCTCTGGCGATATTGCCAAAGGTTCACAGTATTTTGATGCAAAAATAGCATTTCTTTTTAGACTCAACATTTTATCCTTATAATTTTTATATGTTTTGCCATTCCTAATTATATACGTAGTAACTTTAACGTTAATTTCTTTATTTTTTAAATTAAATTAAAAACATTTTTAATTGATGTATAGTTGACACACAATGTTACATTAATTTCAGGTATACAGCATAGTGACTTGATACTTCTATACATTACTTGGTGCTCATCACAATAAATGTAGCTACCATCTGTCACCATACAATGTTATTACAATATTATTGACTATATTCTCTATGCTGTAATTTTCATCCCTGGGACTTACTTATTTTATAAATGGACGTTTGTACCTCTAATCCTCTTCACCTATTCTGCCCATGCCCCCACCCTGCTCCCCTGTGGCAACCACCACTTTTTTTGTTCTCTGTGTTTATGAGCTTGTTTCTGGTGTACGTGTGTGTTGTCTGTTCATTTGTTGTTGTTGTTTTTAAGATTTTATTTATTTGAGAGAGAGAGAGCACAAGCAGGGGGGAAGGGTAGAGGGCGAAGCAGCCTCCCCACTGAGCAGGGAGCCCGACGTGGGACTCAATCCCAGGACCCTGGGATCATGACCTGAGCTGAAGGCAGACACTTAACGGACTGAGCCACCGGGGCACCCTCATTTGTTTTTTAGATTCCACATATAAGGGAAATCATATGGGGCACCTGGCTTGCTCAGTTGGTAGAACATGTGACTCGTTGATCTCAGGGTTGTGAGTTCAAGCCCCATGTTGTGTGTAAAACTTACTTTAAAAAAAAAAAGTGAAATCATATGGTGTTTGTCTTTCTCTGACTGACTTCACTTAGCACAGTATCCTCTGGGTCCATCTATGTTGTTACACATAACAAAATCTCAACTCTTTTTTGGGCTGAGTAATATTCCATTGTGTGTGTGTGTGTGTTTGTACCCCCCACATCTTTATCTGTGTATCTGTTGATGGACACTTGTGTTGCTTCCATATATTGGCTATTGTTGATAATGTTACAGTAAACATAGGGGTGCATATATTTTTTTTGAATTAGTGTTTTCTTTTGGCTGGGGGTGGGGGGTGGAGGGTAAATACCATGCAGTGGAATTACTAGATCATATGGTATTTCTATTTTTAATTTTTTGAGGAACCTCCATACTGTTTTCCACAGTGGCTCTGCCAGCTTGCCTTCCCACCAACAGTGCACAAGGTTCCTTTTTCTCCCCTTGCCAATCCTTGTTATTTCTTGTCTTGATACTAGCCATTCTGACTGTTGCGAGATGATAATCTCATTGTGGTTTTGATTTGCATTTCCCTGACAGTGTTGTTAAGCATCTTTTATGTGCCTGGTGGCTATCTGTATGTCATCTTTGGAAAAATGTCTGTTTAGGCCCTTTGCCTAGTTTCAAATATGACTATTTGTTTTTTTGGTGGGGTTTTTTTTTTTTTTTTTTTTTTTTTTGGTGTTGAGTTGTTTGAGTTCTTTATATGTTTTGGATATTAACACCTTACCAGATATATCATTTATGAATATCTTCTTCCATTCAGTAGGTTGCCTTTTCATTGTGTTGATAGTTTCCTTCACTATACAAAAGCTTTTTAGTTTGATGTGGTCCCAGTCATTTATTTTTGCTTTTGTTTCCCTTGCCTGAGAAGACATATCCAGAATAAAGTTGCTAAAGCCACTGTCCAAGATAATAGCACCTATGTTTTCTTTTAGGAGTTTTATGGCTTCAGGAAAACAGTTTTCTTCTGACCCTCATCCAAGCTCTTGGTGTCTATTAGGTTAATTAACCAAATAAGCCTTAGAGAGAAAGGGACAGGAAGGATTAATAAGGTCCTAATTAGTTAGCTTTGTTTATTCTGGACCCAGATGGAGTCAGCCCTAAGGGGTGACCAGAAAGACCTTAAGAAGAGTCAGGCCACCTTGTTCCTTTTTTCATTTCTCCACCCAGAGCTTTGTCTTGAAGACAAGGAGCAGAAACTCCTCATCAGATTACTCAGTTCTCTTGTTTTATACACCCACTCGCCAGTGGCGTTTAGAGTAAGTTGCCCCATGGCTCTTGTACTCTTGCCACCCTCCCCTCCCTCTGATGTCCACACACACACACAGTTTCTCTCTGGGTCTGCTTCTTGGTCTGTTTGTCTCTCTGGCTGACCCTACCATCTCTGACCCTTAGGCTCCTGACTGGAAGTGATAAGGCATGGAGAGCATGTCTGGAACATTCTCTTGTCTCATCAGCATGATGGGGACCGGAGAGCAAGAGGTGGCTAAATATACCCTTTTCCTGAACTGTATCTGGGCTGTGCTCTCACCCTTCCCAAGACTTAGGTCTCTTGAATTTTTGCATATCCCATGTGGATAAATGTGCCCTAACAGCCCCAAACCTCCCCTCTTCCTGCAGTGGTTGGCCAGAGAGAGCAGAGTAAGAGAAAGGTGAACGTTCGGACTCGAGATAACCGCCGACTCGGGGAGCGGGACTTGACTGAGGCTGTGCAGCGGCTGCTGGAGCTCCAGAACACCAGGGTCCCAGATGCTGAGGAAGTGTTCTGAGCTTTTGTGTACAGATGCGGCAGGAGCCTCCCTTCATGTGGGAGACCTTGACCCGACTGCCAGAGTCTGGAGGCCCCCAGACCCTTCAGAATTCATGTGGAGGCATGAGTTTGCTCTCCTGGAAAGACATCTGATCCGGGGGAAGCTGTAGCTCTTTGGATGTGTGGAGAGTGAAAGTATAAAGAATAAACTTGAAGCTCTCGGGTATGTGTCTTCATCTTCATCTCTGACTCCTGAGCAGGGGCTAAAAGGGAGTTTGACTCTGTCTCCGTCTCTTTTGTCCCGGGGCCCTGGGGAAACAAAGGGGGCAGCCCTGGCCTCTCACTGGTAGGGGAGCTCCTGGGATAGCTGTCCTGTCCCCCATCCTGGACTCTTTAGTGCCCTGTTTCCCCAACCCCAATTCAGGAGGCTGTACCTCTCCACGGTAGGCAGCATGAAGACAGAGGAACCGAGGCATAAAATAAGGTCTCAACATCTGTCTTTTTTTTTTTTTTTAAGATTCTATTTACTTGAGAGAGAGCACGAGCGGGGTGGAGGGGCAGAGGGAGAAGCAGACTCCCTGCTGAGCAGGGAACCCAACGCGGGGCTCAATCCCAGGACCCTGAGGTCATGACCTGAGCCAAAGGCAGATGCTTAACCGACTGAGCCACCCAGGCGCCCCAGGTCTCAACATCTCTTACTGCATGAGTCTCAGAATCCATTTCTCTGGGGATCATAAGAATGCTATCCTCCCCTCAGCCCTGTTCTCTTCAGCCCTCTTAGGAGACTTCAGGGTGAATTTGGGAGGAGTGGCTGCCAGAGGAGGAGCAGCTGGGACTGAGTCATGGCAGGAAATAGGAGGGAGGGAGTTATCCCGAGATAGCTGTATAAAAGGAGAAGGAACCAGCCCTGAGGTTCACAACAGCCGTAACAGCAACTGGAGAAGCAGGCTCCCAGCAGCCCAGCCCTTCAAATCCAGATCTGCCTGAGACAGTCCACCTTCTGGGTGCCACTGACCAGTCTTTGCCCCAGAATGGGGACCATGTCCAGAGCAGCCTTGGTCTTGGCCTGTCTGGCTGTTACTTCTGTAGCTTCTGAGGGAGGTGAGTTGGGGTTGGAGCCAGCGCTTGGGAAGAGGCCCTGACCGGTGTGGGCCTGGGGCCGGGGTCCAGCCATCCTCTAAATGGCTCATCACCAGCAGGGTGATTGTATCCCTGGCCTTGCATTTCTGAGCAGACTGAAGGTGGGCCTGGGCACTGGAGCCTTTAAACAGGGAGGGGAGCAGGTGGACGGGAGGAGAGGGGTTCCTGGAGATTGCTGTCAAGAGACATAAAATTGGGAGTCAAATGGACAACTCTTCAGTGGGTGGGTGGATTCCCAGAGTGAAGGGGTTCTGCCTCAGGAAGATGTATATATGGGGCCTATCAAGCAGGGGAGGGAGAAAGAATGGGGCCCCCAGGCTGCTCAAAACTGGTTTGTTGACCCAGAGAGCCTTGACTGACTCCTTGTCCGGTTAGGAGAAGAGTTGAGAGGGTGTCCATCCCCAGGGGACCAGACACAGTCACTCTATCTAGCACACACACATCATCTGCTGGATGCTGGACAAAATGCTACCGAGGGATACTGTTGAGATCTGGTCTCTGTAAGGCCTGTCTCCTTGCTCCTCCTAGGCAGATGAGCTATAGGCGATTCCTTTCCCTGTGGCTGTGGGGCGATTTGCCTCAGGAGTCCTGAAACATCCCAGTCCCCAGGTCCTAAATTGAGACCTAAGCTAAGGAGGGTCTGGGACCAGCTGAAGGGGAGGCACTTTAAGTTCGAGGTGGGCTTCTTATTAGAAGGCCCACAGATGTTTAAACAGCCTGGAGGAGATGAGCAGATGAAACCCCAACCAGTTCAAAGTCCAGACTTGCTCCTCTGGAAAACTAGAGACGCATAGCAGCTGAGAGGCCGAGAGGAAGAGACCAAAAGCCCTAAGGGAGAGACACTGACAGGAGATGAGGGCCTCCACCACCCCACTCCTCCTACCCTCAGCCCCATATGTCACATTCCCTTCAGGCCTGGACTCAGGAGACCCGAGGCTTTGAGCCTGGTAGAAGAGAGGCTGTCAGAATATCATAGCTTTCTCAGAACCCAGCTGGTCACGTCCAGGTGTGGGGGGGAGGGGGTGGATTCATCAGGGAACATGGGACAGGAGCAATACAGAAGGGCTTCTGGTGTGTTGGTTGTGTTGCCCATACCCTTGATATCTACTGCCCCCACATCCTGTGCTTAGGGCCAAGAAAGGGCTCCTCAACCCACCCCTGACTCACCTTTCATGTTCCAGGCTTCAAGGCTCCAGGGCAGACGGAGCTGGGGCCAGAGCCCCTCACCTACCACACTCAAGAAGGTAAGAGTGTGGGGGAGCAGCATGGGATGGGGGTGCTAGGAGAGACTGTCAGCTCTGACCATCTCCCCTCTTACCTCTAGTTGGCTATGCAGCACCCCCCTCCCCACCCCGGACCAGAGACCTCCCTGTGGATCACCCTGACGCCCTTCAGCATGGCTCTCACTTTGAGGGACAGAGTGAAGGTAAGTCCACCATGCACCCTCCTCAGCCCTCCAGGTTTCTAGTCTGGCTTACTTCCCGTTCTTTAGATGGGGAGGGGTGAGAAGGTCCTGCCCACTCCTTGCCCTGGCTGGGAGAAGGGGTGGTCTACTCACATACTCCCCCTTCTCTAGTGCAGCCCCCTCCTTCTCGGGAAGCCATCCCTGCCCAAGAGGAGTTGCCCCCTCCCCAACTCCCTGTGAAAAAGAAAGGTGAGTGTTGCCCATTTCTTCACCCCCAGCCCACTACAGTCTTGCTGCCATCAGTCTGATCCTTGCTTCTTTGTGCCCTCACTCCTGTCTTGTAGTGGATCCCCCTCTCCCTCAGGAAGCCATCCCCCTCCAAGAAGAGCTGCCCCCTCCCCAGGTCCCTGTTGAACAGAAAGAAAGTAAGTGACTCCCTCTCCTCGTTACCCTCCTCCTGCCTACCCATGGGCTTTGGGGGCTCTGCCATTTGCTAGCTGTGTAACATTGGGTAAGTTGTCTCTCCGAGCCTTAGTTTCCTCATCTATAAAAATGGGGAAATAAGACCTATTTTTATAAAGTTATGAGATTAAGTGGCATAAAAGTAGCATTTATTTTCACTTGCTTCTATACTGACTTCCTCCTTATGAGTGGCAGCTGGCCCGGTCCCCCCTCTTCTAGCCCATCCCAACATGGCTTCTGCTTACACATCTCCTATCCCAGCAGACCCACCTCTCCTACATCGGGAGGAAATGACCTTCCCATCTAAGCAGAGAGAGGGTGAGTGACAGCTCTGGTCTGTCCATCCCTCTGCTTTAGTGCTCAGGACCCTGGGGAGGGAGGCAAGGAGCCTGAGCCTTGGGAAGCAGCACAGGGACCAGGCCTGATTTATGGGGGCTATAAGGGGACACCTTTCATGCCCCTGTTCTTTTTCCTTTCCATCAGTCATTCTGAAGGTAAAAGCCACAAGTTCATTTCTATCTCTTTCCCCCCATATCGTCCCAACCCTTTCTCCTCCACTCCCAAGTTCTTTCAATCCTCCCAGCTCATCCAGACTTTCTCTGTCCCTCTACTCATTCCCCTTCCCAATCTGTTTTCTCCATTCTAGAAAAGCCAGCTCCTTTCACGGACCGTAGCGCCTCTGAGCCTGAGTCTTGGAATCCAGCCCTGCACTGCCAACAGGGCAGATCCCGAGGGGGCTGGGGCCATCGGCTTGATGGCTTCCCCCCTGGGCGGCCTTCTCCAGACAATTTGGACCAGATCTGCCTTCCTAATCGTCAGCATGTGGTGTATGGTCCTTGGAACCTGCCGCAGTCTGGCTTCTCCCACCTCACTCGCCAGGGTGAGACCCTCAATTTGCTGGAGACTGGATATTCCCGCTGCTGCCGCTGTCACAGCCACATAAACCGCTTGGACTGTGCAAAACTCGTGGTAAGGGTTGGGCTCTTGATGCCAGGGGTGTCCCTTAACCTCCAGACAGTATGTGTGTGTTTGAAGGACTTCTAGGCCTGAGTATGTAGGAAACTCAGGACCTTTTTCTTGGCCCTACCTTGGGCCTCCCCAGTATGCTGGGAGGGCAGAGGACAGCCTCTACTTCTTTCTTATCTACCTGCCCAGGGTCCTTTTCTGGAGCCTGGGAGGAAGACAGGAATGTGGACAATGGGCTGCTGGGCTGATCCATCCCTCTTGCTCTAGTGGGAGGACGCAATGACCCGATTCTGTGAGGCCGAGTTCTCGGTCAAGACCCGACCCCACCGGTGCTGCAAACAGCAGGGGGAGGCTCGACTCTCCTGCTTCCAGGAGGAAGCTCCCCGGCCACACTACCAGCTCCGGGTCTGCCCCAGCCACCAGGCTGGTATATCCTCGGGCCCCGAGCTGCCTTTCCCCCCTGGGGTACCCACACCGGACAATGTCAAGAACATCTGCCACCTAAGACGCTTCCGTTCTGTGCCGCGCAACCTCCCAGCTACTGACCCCATCCAAAGACAGCTGCAGACGTTGACCCGGCTAGAGGGGGAGTTCCAGCACTGCTGCCGGCAGGGGTACAACCACACCTGTACACGGAAGGCCGTAAGTGGGCATCCCGGTCCCACGAGCCTGTCTGCCTGCCCGCCCGTCTCCGACCTCTGACCCTGCTCATCCATTCGTCCATGCACCTCCCCAGTGTGAGCACGTCTGCCCGTTCATCTGCTGGCAAGTGTCCGTCCATCCACTGCATTCGTCATTTGAGTCTGTTCATCTTGAGCCTCCATCCTGCACTCCTGGCCTCGTCTACCCATGATCCCACACATGCACCCATGTGCCATCCATCCGTGCAGCTCTGGCCTTGTCTGACCCCCTCGTCTGCCATTGCCGCTCCTGTCCTGTGGCCGGCTCCAAGCCTCATTTGTGCTTCCATCCTTCCACCTCCCAGCACCATACATCCACAGCTGCCCATCGTTGTCCTCTGGTCCCTTGCCCTTCCCTTTCAGCACCTGTGGCCGGGTCCCTCATTTCGTAGCATAGGGCAGTAAGGGAAGCAGAGGGTCAGAAGAGAAGGGGCCAAGTGTCCAGGCTTCTGACTTCCCTCTCTCTGGCCCACAGTGGGAGGATGCCCTTGATGGGTACTGTGATCGGGAACAGTCTGTCAAGACCCACCACCACTTGTGTTGCCACTACCCTCCTAGCCCTGCCCGCGATGA